ATCTAGAGGCATCAAAACCTCCATGAAGTAAATGTGAAATATGGTGCCAGATAGCTCAAGTTTTCACATACACTGTATATTTAGAAAAATGTAAATGAGGCCCGTCTGAGTTCAGTGAATACGGCAATCTCATGTGGCAGCTAAAAAAAGGTATGAGGAAAAAAAGAGCAAATCCAGTAACTAAAAAAAGATCTTTTCACATTAAAAAAAAAAATCCATTATCAATATAACGGCCTTTGACAGACCTGGAGTGTGTCTGAGTAAAGACCTTCAGGTTACAGAGATAAAAGCAAGGACAAAAAGAAAAAAAAAAAAAGAGAGAGAAAAGAAAGAAAGAAATTGTGAGAATGGGAAGAAAGAGTGACAAATAGGAGCTAAACTCTGAAAAAAAAAAAAAAAGTGGGAACCATTCTGAGATGCATATTTGGAAATGCTATATAATGCAAATGTCCTGATTTGTTTACCCTGCAAATTCTTCACTTAATCCTGTATTGTTCACCGGAGCTAAGGGGCAGGTGGAATTCTGTGTCTGTGAACCTCAAACGGAATAGCTGACATAACAGATACTATACAACTGCTATTTACAGAAAATTAGTTTATCTTCACTCTCATTAAGTAAATATCAAGCAATACTTTCCAAACATAAATCAGTCTGAAGAGGCACCAAACCATTACTGCCTGTCTGGGTGCTCACACAGATCTCAGACCAGCCTTGTATGAGGATATAATGTATTTCTTTCTACATGCGAACTCTGACCTGATCTTAAACTTCTCCTCTATCTTTCCACCACTTTCCTCAACTGCGTTTTTGGAGGACGTGTAATTTAAAAAGTCATTTTAAATCCCTTATGCAACAAGGTGGGTGATAAATACAAGTCACACATGCTGATGGCTGGTAGTCCACAAAAGCCTATTTCACACATATGCTGCCTTCCATTATAAAATTATTTCCCAAGTTCTAATTTGATATAACCCGAATAAATCCTTCCCTCCTCTGAAACTGACACAGTGATATAAAAGGGCTATTTTTTCATCTGTCCATCTACTGGGGGAGTGGAAGAAGGAAGGATGCCTAATGCCTGGCCCAGGGCAGGATCTTCTGCTGGGTTAGTCAGACAGACATTGCAGAGGAGGGATCAGAAACCAAATCTGTGTGGATGCTTAAAGCCTCCCACCAGCATAAACCTGAGTAGAGCTCTGACCTCTACAAGCTACCTGGTCACAAGAACTGACCCACTGTTTCCGTCCCCCACCAGCCAAACCAATTGATGTTAAAGATCGGAGTATTTCTATTACAATAAACAGAAAAATAGTCTCATAACTTCTCTCCTTTATTTCTATCCCTAAAGCAAATACTTGGCTTTTTGGGAATTTCTAAGGGTTTTTCTTTAACTAAAAAGTTAAAAACCAAAAGTAAAAAGCACTCCTCCTATGCCTCCCAATAACTTTCACTTCTTTCCTTAGATCACTTAAAAAATAAAGAGTTCCAAACAGACGTTAAAGACAAGTCCTTATACAAAGTACACGGTCAAACGCATCTTGAGGATTTCCTTCCAGGAAAAAGCAGACTAAGTCTGTGCTATTTCAGTGTACCAGAGACCCTGGGATTTGAAAGGGGAGCAAAACAGCAGGAGTGCATTTACAACTTACCAAATCAGTTAGCCCAGCTAAAGCAAAAACTCCTAGTGCAATATTAAAATCCTCTTCAATAATCAAATAGCCCAAAACTGGGGCCAAGCCAATTCTTGTCATTGACAACATATTTGGGATTGTCCATGGGTTTTCATACTGAAACACAAAGACAACAAAATTTAAATTAAATGCTAGGAATTCATACTTTAACCATATTAGAAAAATATGCTTACACCAACTTAGGAGTCAAAAACTATACAAACTTTAAATTTAATACTTTGACTTTTAAAATCCATTCTGTTGTTTACAGACCATAGCTCTAAAACTGTCAGAAATACAGAAGATGAAGATATGTCATATGCCCATAAAGTGTCTGCTATAAATAGAGTGTGTGTACGTACACATACACACACACACACACATCTCCTAAAGAGAGAAAAGAATATGTATTATTTACCATATAGGTCAAGGCTTTAATATAGGACTTCAGGATTAGAATTCAAACCTTACAACACTCTGCTTTTAACAGTGTAACTTCAAGAAGATCTTATACTTCAAGTAGAAAGCCTAGATGGGTGTCAGGGAAAAACAAACAAACAAAAACGAGCCAAATCATCAACCCCAGGCATTTTGGCCTAAAATGCTTAGCAAATAACTTCTCTCCCTCCCCTGCACATACCCATCAAAGGAAGGCTAAATGCTATACAGTATGTGGACATATGATGAAGAGGGAAAAAAAAATTTAATTCCATGATCTCATCACTGAATGGATAATTGCTGGAACAAAATGGAGATAGAAATAGGGATTGAGACTTTTAGGAAATAAAGAGAAATTATGTAAATCTGTTCAAAACAGCCATGAAAATGAAATGTTAAAATTTCCACCTAGAATCTGAGGGCTTTAATATTCCTTGAAACTTCATTTGGAGCCAAGCTGTTTGAAGTTGGCACTAACAAAAGGGCTCTTTGGCAGCTACTATGAAGAACATTACTTACTTGCCAAACAAAATGTTGCATGAGAATATTTCAACTTTAAAAAGCCCCACCCTAGTGGAGCTAAGATACCCTGCCCAACAGGATACAGAAATAATACCAAGAAAATGTCTCCCTAAAGCCTGGACTTTTTCTCTACTGGTGAAGGTTGCCAACTCCTACCCCATGGGACTATCTCCTCACAAGACTAACCCTACTCTTAATTAGTAACCAATTAATCTGAACCTTAACTTTGATTTTTTAAAACCGTGACAGTTTCCATTTCTAAAGAAATCTTTTCAAATTCCATGAACCACCCCGTAAGAAAAAGCAGCTCTCTAAAGATACTAAGTCTGTGTTTATTTTAACGAACTGGTAAGAAATGTTTACCTTAATTTGAAAAGAGAATGGGGTTGTTATGGCAGAATACTGCCACTGAAAGCTACAGAAAAAACTTCAAATTCTCCGGAAACAAATCACCAAAACAAATCACCAAACAAGAAGCAGTACAAATCTCTTCTCAAGGACCGTTTATTGAAAATAGAACACATTATGTAATGAAATGGGAAAATTCTGGGAACATATTCCAAATTCAAGTTCAAAGGTCAGAGTGTTTCAGAACCCAGAGAAAAAACTCTGTTTACCATGGTCTGTTTACCATAATGTGGTACCGAGTAAGTCAAACACTGATCCAATATTACAGCAACTCGGGGTGGGGGTGGGGAGGGAAGTTCATGACTGAGAAAAAGGAATCACAAAACAAAAGGTCAAAATAGAGTCCCAAAATTAATGTCAGAAATACCCATAGGGCAAAATTAAAGACAAAGTTGCAAACAGCCAGATCATTTCATTTGGCGAATTAATCAACAGAACTATAATGTTGTTGGAACAGTGAGACTTATTTTTAGCTCCATATAAAATATTTTAAAGTACCTCATTAATTTCTAATCATTACATTTGCAAAAGTTTCTAAATTACAATTAAGAGAGCTAATCTTAGATTACCCAACCAGATAACCTGTGGCATACTCGACCAACTACTGCGGCTCTGAGAAGGACTTCAGCCACCATATGGCAACCTCAAAGCATCCAGCATTCAAACCCCGACATACTTTAGCTATTAGTGGAGCTGAGACCCCGGCCAGGATGTGGCCACCTCAACCCATGCTGTACAACTGATGAAAGCAGTACAGGACCCACTGAAGACATAACAATTGAAGATGTAATAATTGCATGAGCCTTGCTAACATGACATCAAAAGCTCTCCCACATTCACGCTCTGGTGTCTTCTGCTTGGGCAGTATTTCAAAAGGTAAGCGGACAAATATTCTGTTCTATTACCTCAAAAAAAGAGTTGTAATCTTCTTCTATAATTAGAGATTAAAGAATCCTTTAATTACGATTAATTATCCTTCATCTTGTAATACATAAGGTTACCAAAAGTCAAATGATAGTGAACCAAACCTGCACAAGCCAAAAGGCTTGTATACTCTTCTAAAGATTCCTACTGACTTGCCCTAAACATTGGGGAATGGCTTCAGAGAATTAAAAATAGACTTAATAAGACAAGTGAAGGCTATTTTTACCAATGCAATATCCTGTGGCCGATCCCGCTTAAGGTGCGGACAGAAAGGGGGTAGGGAAGGAGGAATTCTAACTTGACCGCCGAGACTAAAGGTGCACTCGGCTGGCACCTCTGAAATTCATCCCAACTGAATGACCTGCCCGTTACTCTTCAGGGAACGGTTTACAAGTTCTGGAACGGAAATGTCTAACTTGGGGTAGTCAGAGCACGTTATTTTCCTCCAAGTCCGACCTCCGTGAGGGCCCGCGATCCCCACCCAGGGTTGCCCCTCCGCCGCCTCCTCTATACATACCAGGCTGGTGGCGCTCGCCTGGCCCCATCGGCTGCCCCGGGCCTCCGCGGCGGCGTCCTCTCCGGCTGCAGGCCCGGGAGCCGCCTTCCCCGCGCCGGAGCAGTGGCCCCGTGGGCTGGCCCCAGGCAGCCGCAGACCGAGCGCGGCGGGGCGCAGCCACCAGCGCTCCACCAGGCAGCCTAGGCAGCCAGGCACCGAGCGCAGCAGAGCCCCGCGGGCGCGCCCCTTGCCCGGCCGCACCCCTGGCGCCCATACCGCGCTGCGAAGGAACCCCCACGAGCCGCGGGCCACGCGCGAAGCCAGCATGGCCCTGCCGCCGCGCCGCGAGGACACAGGCGGCGAGAGCTCAGCAGCCTGGGGCACTGGCGAGCCGCCTCTCCATAGAGTGCCCACAACGTCGGCGAAGCTCAGCCGCCTCCATAGCAGTTTTCAAACCCCTGCACGCTTTGCTTATACAGGTGGCCCGGAGCCGCCAAGGACGACGCCTTCGCGACGCTTTTGCGACACCGTCTCGGCGCTGGCCTTCCCAGCGCCCCCGGCGGTAGCAGAAGGAGCGTTGCGTTAGGCACCGTGGGCTTGCTGGGAGCCGTAGGTTCGTGGTGCTGTGGCTTTCTTGCTGCCGTGGTCGGGAGCTGAGGTCCGCGGGGAGGGGAGCACAGGAACCAGTAGGGCTGAGTGACGGTGGGGCCAATGTGGCCCGAGAGCGGAGGAGCCGTTTCGGGTCTCGGCCTGAAGCCCTTCGAGGCCCGTGGCCTGCAGAAGACCCCCGACTCCGAGGCGTGTGCGGCCCTCCGGGGGTCCTCGTGGGAGGTTTAAATATTAGTAAAGTGTCTGGTACAGAAGTCATTAATACAAGCTCCCTGCCTTTTTCCCTCTTCTGAGCGTTTAATACGCCAAAAATGTGGGTATTAGAAAATGACAGTTTACCAGGAAAGTGTTTATTACAGCTAGGTTCTAGTGCATTCTCCCATTTAATCCTTCCAGCAACTCCAAAATAGGAAATTTAGGCTGAGAGAGGTTAAGAAACTTGCTTATTAGAGGAATATCCAAAATAAGAATGAGCTCATCATTGATCAATTTTATTATACATTAATAACTAATATTGCAATTATATTCATTGCTGACATATTTTGCATTAATATTGCAATGTTGCAGAACTGTTTTCTTAATTGAGTTCTGTGTCAAATTGGATTTGAATGGGTCTTGCTGCCTCGCCTGTTTCGCCCCCACCCCCCACCCCCCACCCCAGCCCTGTCTGTGATGACAGACCCGCTTTAAAGTTGATTTTGAACTCTTAGTTCAGGTAGTTAGGAAAGGAAAAGACCACCTGAATTTGAAAATCATTGTAGATCTGAGTATTTATCAAAAGAAATCTTTAATGTCTTATGTGCATATTGAAATACTGACATTGTGAGAAAAGTTAAACTTTCTGATCTAGCAATGTGAAAAGTTTTTAAAAAACCATAAATAAAAAAATTTTGAAAACCATATTGGAATCAAATACCTACAATTCTCATAGACAGACACTGGATAATCTGTGAAGTGAGAATGGGCAGTATTTCAATCTCTCCCGTGCTTTTCACTCACTAAATTGCCTTTATTCACTCTTTCCACTTCTTCCTAATTTAAGACAGTTTCTCACTGTTTCCGGGAGTTTTCTTCTCTATGCTGCGTCTGCCTGTAATAGTTGGCACTATGTGGTCTTTTATCATGGTAATCATTTTCCAGGATATGCTTGTTTCAGATCATGTTAAGTGTATACAATGATGTATATCAATTACAGGTAAAACTGGAAAAATTTAATAAGTATATATTATATATATAAAATACATATATATTAAGCCAACTTTACTATGAACAGTATACTGATAGTACTGCGAAATACAAAGTAGAACAGCAAAGGGTCTGGCATTTTGGCCTAAAGGACAATGACAGGCTAATACATAGGACTAAAAAGTAGGGGTGCTTGGCTGGCTTGGTCAGTGGAGCGTGCGACTCTTGATTTGGAGCTATGAGTTTGAGCCCCATATTGGGTGTAGAGATTATTTAAAAATCTTTAAAAAATAAATAATAATGAGTAACAGTGCTTCTAGCATTGCATTTCCCTAACATTTTAAGACAGGAGAATATCCAAGTATTAATCTCTGATTTCATTTTCTAGAACATGACAGGTGTCAATAAATTAACAGGTTAATCTGGGATGAAGGATGTAGAAAATGCAGAAACCCCGGAAAATAATTTCAGGTATAAGATAGTAGGTACATAAAGTAAATAAAGAGTGTAACATATTTCCTAATATAGTTGGGAAGAGGGCAAAGGAAACCTTAAAATTCTGCAGTTAGTATTTGTTTTATAATAAGTTCATTTTCTGTTTTATAAATCTATAATTGTTCACTTCTATCCAGTAAGATTAAATAGGTGGGCAGCTTACATGTCAGGGGATTGGGAATCTCTGTCAGTGAACTTTTCCCCCAAATTGGGAAAAAATAATTAGAGAAGTCTGTAACAAAAATCCAAATAAGAATCCATATGTAGGGGCGCCTGGGTGGCTCAGTCAGTTAAGTGTCTGCCTTCCACTCAGGTCATGATCTCAGGGTCCTGGGATCAAACCTTGCCTATTTGGCAGGCTCCGTTCTCAGCAGGGTGTCTACTTCTCCCTCTGCTTCTCCCCCGCTCTTTCTCTCTCTCTCTCAAATAAATAAAACCTTTTAAAAAAAATCCACATATAAACCCTAATTCTCATGCTTGAAATTAATTTCAAATTTTTATCTCTCTACTTTTTTTATTAGAATTATTTTTTTTAAAGAGCGAAAATATGCTAGTCAGGTATCTTATCCCAACTTCTCTAGTCAATCATATAAGTGCTAACATTAAGAGAACCAAAGAATATGAAAAGAAAAAGGACTGTAAATAAATAACCTTGGATAATTAGCCAAGTTGACAGTGTACTTTAGTTCTGTGAAAACATAAATGCTTTTAACAGCCACTAATATCTATAGTGCAATCACAGTGATACTGTGTTTGGCCCTTATCCTTTAACTGATCCTTTGCTGAGGAAGTTGTAAAAATAAAAATCCCGCCCTTAGAGAGTAGTAGTATCTTGGCACATTTATGCTTCCCTTGGTAAATTGCAAAGCACTAAAGGTCTGGCTGTGCTAACGATCAACACATCTGAGGATTTTGAAAAAAAAAAGACTCTATTCCAAATCTATTAATATTTTCTATTGATAAATTGACAAACTAGATATATGTTTGCCCTCCCCTTATATCAGATATACGATGAAGCATAGGTTTGTTATTTATAATAATTTTTTTAGTCTGGGACACACTAAACTTGAGCCACTTTCTGTTTCTTGGGACCAGAAGAAAATAGTGATAATGCAAAGAAGTAGCTTTGCAAATGGATCTTATATAAATATAAATAATAATGATTGGAAGTTAAAGCAAACCAGAAAATTGAAATTGTTTCTCTAGGAATCAAGTTAAATTTTGTAGGAGTGAGCCATTAAGTATTGACACAAAAGCCAGTATCTAGTAACTAGTAAGGCACAGGTTTCAATCATTGTAATAAATACACCAACAGCCTTAAATAGAAAGGAATAAAATGATTTGATTTAGATTCAAAACACAAGAGAGGGAATTCATTGTAGGGCCAACCTCCTCAAGACTTGCAGAGATTAGCTCCAACAAAACTCTGTAATTTAGCTCACTCTTTAATTTATTAAGAGATTAAATTATTAAGAGATCTAAACTAGGGGCACCTGGGCGGCTCAGTCGGTTAAGTGGCTGCCTCAGCTCCGGACATGATCCCAGAGTCCTGGGATCAAGCCCCACATCAGGTTTCCTGGTCAATGGAGAGCCTGCTTCTCCCTCTCCCTCTGCCTGCTGCTCTGCCTACTTGTGCTTTTCCTCTCTCTGTCAAATAAATAAAATCTTAAAAAAAAAAATGAACTAAACTATTTCTTTTTTTTGTTAACTTCTAGTGCTAATTTTTCGTTATTCCTTCCTGCAAAAGTACTGCTGGTACTAAATCTATCAAGGCTTTACCTAAGAGTTTTTAGGCAGTCCATTCTTGTAGGAACCTCTAAAAGAAATAAAAATGCTCACAAAGACAGGCATTATCTACGAACGAGGAAGTAAAAAAGTTGGTTTCAATATATTTACCCTCTTCCCTTTGCAATAGTTTAAAAATAACAAAGGGATTTTTAACATTATTTAGTGTATGACTTGCTTTATTTCTGTTCTAGTCTTCCTTCCTGTCAAGGATTTAAGAATCTTGATGTCCTTTTTGTTGCTTAGGGTACTCTGTTTTAATGTTTTTATCTAACATTTCTATTTCAGGGCAAGTGGCTGAATTTTGGAAGGTGAGAAATCACCCTCATTAACCACCAGAAAAAAAATTAAACCAATGCTGTGGACTCCTTCAGTGATTTTCTTCTGAGAGAAGCCTTCAAATATGAGCACAAGGTAATTTTTTTTCCTCCACAGAATCCTAAGCATTATAGTTCATTTTAAAGGGGTCCATGTAGGGACACCTGGCTGGCTCAGTTGGTGGAGCAAGTGACTCTTGATTTTGGGGTCTTGAGCTCAAGCCCCACGTTGGGTGTAGAGATTACATAAGAACAAATAAAGGGGTTCATGTAACTACTGAAAATGGAATGCAAATATGAGAATTTTTCAATTATGTTTTGTGTTTTGGAGGGCACTTGGGTGGCTCAGCCAGTTAAGCATCTGCCTTTGGCTCAGGTAATGATCTCAGGGTCCTGGGGTGAGCTCACATTGGGCTCCCTGCTCAGTGGGCAGTCTGCTTCTCCCTCTCCCTCTGCCCCTCCCCACCCGCTTCTGCACTCTGTGTGTGTGTGTGTCTCTCTCTCATATAAATTTATAAAATCTTAAAAAAATAAAGTGTTTCTGAATATGGTACATATTCTTTAGCTATTAATTTCCTGCACATACTTCATAGTCCTTAAGAATTGAGCAGAGTATTTATTCATATTTTTATAAACCATGTCTCCGTGTAACTCAGCATTAATTTTTTTCCCAGTTAAATGAGGTTATTTAATAACCTTATTTCTGGTGCACAGGCTGATACATAGGATAAGAGGGGACAGAGCTGGGCAGCTCAGTACTGATAGCATTAAAAACAGTTGTGTTTCTTGGCAAAATTGCAGTTAGACTAGGTCCCTTTGGACATTATGAACAAAGTACAGGGCTCGATCTCTTTTGAAACATTTTTCACTGCTTTCTTATTAAAACGCAGATTTTACCCAGTAAAACTAGATATTACCAAAGGTCAACTTGTGCAGATGTCAGCCAGAGTTTGGGATGGATTTTCTGGTACTAAAGCCAAACCTCTCTTCCGTTCTTATCAATTCCAAGCCCGTTTCCCAGGAGGCAAATTAGCCTAAATGTATTCTTTCCCTTTTTCCACAAATACTTAGAAACTTGTTGTATACCAGTCATGTCCTAGATTCTAGGCAACCCGCACATGTCTCTGTTCTCAGAGAACTTACATGATTGCACACTATCTAGATTCCAGCCCCTAAAAGATAAAAAAAAATGTCTTCCAAGGAATGTTTTCCAGATCTCCTATAGAATCTGGTAAAAGCTATAAAACATCTGAAACACAAATTTTGTGTAAAATTTAAAGGATTCCTGTCACCCAGGAGACCCACTCACCAACCCCAAGGTAAGAACCACTAGGCAGTGCTCACTCAACCCTCTGAGCTCAGAGTTCAGGTGGTCTTAGGAGCCGTTTACCGTGTTCCCAGGAATCAGGTGTTGTGCTTGGTCTCTGCAGCCCCTAATCTCATATATTAGGTGGAGAAAACACAGGGCTGCCACCTCAACTTTTCTTTTAGAGCAATTGACTTAGCAACCCAGAGGGGCACCTGGGAGGCTCAGTCATTAAGCATCTGCCGAGGTTCTGGGATCGAGCCCCGCATCAGGCTCCCTGCTCGGCTGGGAAGCCTGCTTCTCCCTCTCCTACTCCCCCGTGTCGTGTTCCCTCTCTTGCTGTCTCTGTTTCTGTCAAATAAGTAAAATCTTAAAAACAACAAAACAAAACTTAGCAACCCAGAAATTCTCCCTTTTTGTTCTTGGCCTTGGTGAAGGTATGTGACCTTTCTCTGAGAACTGCCCGAGAGGTATCTGGTCCCTTTCAAGAACCTCTAGTCTTGCTGCTGTTTAGGTAACCTCTGATGGCACAGAACTACAGCCAAAGGGTGGGGAGTGGGGAGGTGGGAAGGGGGCATCTCATGGTGTCATAGGGGAGGTGTCAATAACAAAATATTAAAAAAGCCTGGGTGCCTCATTGGGTGGAGCCTCTGCCTTTGGCTCAGGTCATGATCTCAGGGTCCTGGGGTCAAGCCCCGCATTGGGCTCTCTGCTCAGCAGGGAACCTGCTTCCCCCTCTCTCTCTGCCTGTCTCTCTGACTGCTTGTAACCTCTCTCTGTCAAATAAATAAAATCTTTTTTTAAAAAATGTTAAAAACTTCCACAACTGAAATTTTAGCTGAGAGTTTTTTTCACTGAGCAATTATTCAGCATTCAGAGAGCAGGAGACAACAGAATGACATGACTTGCCTTTTTTTTTTTTTTCCTCTAGCAGGTTTTCAGCGTTATGACTACATTTTGGCCGCTACTGTTAGAATATCATGTATGAGATGTTGTATTAGTGTCCTGTTGCTACTTGCAATACATTGCCACACACTTAGTGCCTTCACACAAATTTATGACCTTAGAGTTCTGTAGGTCAGAGTTTGACGCGGGTCTCCCTGGGCTTTAAACGTCAAGGCGCTGACAGGGCTGTGTTCCTCTCTAGGGGGTTGTTTCCTTGCCTTTTCCAGATTCCAGAGCCCACCCACATTCCTTGTCTGATGCCTCCTCCCTCTGTCGGAAAAGCCAATGTGTTGCATGTGTTGTGCCTTTTTCCTGCAGTCTTCCTCTCACTGACGCTGTCGTTCTGCCTCCCTCTGCCACTTTCAAGGTTACGTCTGATTATATCAGGCCTGTCTCCCAATTTTAGGATCAGCTAAAATTTAGGATCAGCAACCTTAATTTTCCTTTGCCATGTAAGCCAACATAGTCATAGGTTCTGGGGACTAGAACCTGACGATCGAAGCTGTATATACACATGGTAACTAATTCCACCGTGGAGAAAAGCTGATGATGGAAATCAATAGGTACACTCTACCTTTCCATCCCCAGGCCGACTCCCTAGAGCAAACCTAATACATCTTGTCTGTTTTTAGTTCTAATGGTTACCTCCATAACTTTAAATAAAGCCAGTATGCAGTTTGTGTGAATTAATGTTGCCTTCTAACCATAAGTATCGTGTAATGATCTGGGTGGAATGCTTTGGATAAGGATGAATCTGTGAGGGCTTAGTTGCTGGAAACACAAACGACGGTAACCACAGTAAGAAGAAGGAATGCACAATGGAATTGGGTGCTTGTCATATTGTTGGAAGGGTGGAGGCGTGGGCGCTCTGTGCTGGGTCTCCAGAGCTGACTCCCAGGAAAATGTTGAAGGTCTGGCTTGCTGCAGGAGCCACTACCCCCATGACAGTGAGGAAGGTGGAGAATGGGGGCTGCTGCCATCACCCCCCAGCTGCTTCACAACTACTGCTAGGATTCTGGTGCAGAGAAATTAAATGTCTCGACTGCATATGCCATGTTGGAGGAAGATGGTTCTCTCCTCACTTCCACCTTCCAAATCCCACACAGGACGTCTCATCAGTGCAAGCCAGCTCTCACTCAGAATGCTAGCTGCAAAAGGAGTGTGGAAATGTCAGGTTTCTTTGCTTCCTAGTCTCTGTGTGATAGGAAAGCCTACCAGGAGGTAGGAATGAAGGTTGGATATCAAATCTCTGTATTCACGACCATCACCTCTTTGGCTCGGCAATATGCATATACAAAATTCCACCCATTCATAACCTTCTGTATAATAATAGCAACTATAACACATTAATGCAAGAACCCTTTTTCCCCTCCTTTATAAAAGGAGAGTTATTCATACAGGCCCATCACTGACTATGTGGTACATGTTCCTCTTCTGTTTCGGCTGCATTCTCACCTTGATAACCTCTATCCTTAGGACTAAATTGTCAAGTTAATTATCACCAATCCATTTAAAACACGAGAGGGAAATAACAGGGGAAGGTAAATTGGTTAATGTACAGTGCAGAGCTCTCCCCAACTGGTCATGAGGGCCATGAAGTAGTTGTTAATGTTTAGAACTATCTTCCTCCATTCCCATTCCTTACTCCCTTTTTGCTCAGTCAGCATCTCAGCTGCTCTGAATTCTTTACCTTGTGGAGTGACTCAAAGCTTCATTCCTGAGGAGTTTGAGCCTACGGAGCTCTTGCCTGTAGCCTTCCATCATCCCTTACTGGTGGATGTGAATATAGTAGGAGCTGCCCCAGAAGATTCTTTTTGAGATTCAGAAATGTCCCCCACGCCCCCATTTAGAGGAGTGACTCAGTTTCCCCCTCATTCTCAGGTAAACCCATTAATCCTCTTTTTGTTTTCTACTTCCGTCTCAACTTGCAGTTCAGTGGGCCCATTGCTGTGTCCCTCTGACAGATGTATTCCTCCTCCAGATAGTAAGACCTCTAGCTAGTAAAGCCCAATTTTATGGGGATGCAAAAGAAAAACTTTATGAATGGTCATTAGAAGTAACAGTAAAACTGTTCTAAAATTTGTACCTTGGTTCCTAGGCCCGTGTCTTCTGGCTGTGGGAGAAACAGAACCATAAAGTGGGCGCTAGGATGGTACCCCAGACTTGCAAGGTATTGTCACCTAGCTGGTACCATAACTGAATCTTCATGGTCCATTCCAGTGTTCCCTAAGGCCAGATGCTTTGGGCTATCTGCTATAGAGACCGGAGACTTAACAGTGAAGATAATAGTAAAAAATTCCTATCCCTATGGAGCTTACATTCTAGCCAAACTAAAGAAACATAAAAAAGATGAATAAACTACATAGTATATTAGATTGTACTGATTGCTACAGAGAAACAAAGCAGGAAGGAAGGTAAGGTTGGAGGGGAGGAGGGGGCGGAGTGCAGTTTTAAACAGTGTCTAGGAAAGATGGCACTACGAAGGTGACATTTGACCCAGATGAGTTGGGAGGATGAGCCACGTGGCTTTCTGGTGGAAAAGCATATTGGATGGTAGAAACAGCATGTGCAAAAGCCCTCAGATAGGAAATGTACCCGGGATGTTCTAGAACCAGCAGAGACCATCATGACTGAAGCAGACTGAGTGAGGAACAGCGGAGCAGTGGGAATCAAGGTGAGAGTGTGAACATGGGGTAAGATGTGAAAGGCATTGTTCGGTTCAGTAGCTACTCCCCATAGCTCCACCACTCCACTCTAATCTACAGTGGTATTCTGAGTTTCCCGGGATTAGAGTTAGCTTGCAGATAATACATGACATTTATTTAGGTGTATCTTGCTTACAACAG